TTTTTTTGTTTGTTTTTACGCTGCGCTGAGGGAAGTGGGGCCGGCGTCGGGCGTGTTGTGGTGGGTTAAAAGGGGGCGGGGAAAGGCGACGCTTGACTTGTGTTTGTGGGTTTTGGTTTTTGACTTCCGCGGGGCGGCGCCCTAAACTGCGGGCCCTCCGTGTGTGCGTGTGGGTCTCTGTGTTTGTTTTTCGCCTTATCCTCTTTTTCTTTCTTTCTTTCTTTCTGCCCATCGCTAGACTCTGTGCGTGTGTGTTGTGCTCCGGTGGGAGGAGTGTGGCGATGGTTGGCCGTGCGCTGTTGGTGTGTGCCCTCTGCGCGCTGTGCTGCGCCGCCGGCGGGGGCTGGGCGGCGGAGGGGGACTACTGCACGGAGCGCGACTGGAGGGACTTGCGGGCCGTCGCGAAGGACATGAGCGAGGCGGAAATTGCGGCGAAGTACTGCGGCCGCAAGCCGGAGTTGGTGCGGGGGCTGCGGGCGAGTCTGCAGAGCGGTGGCGAGGCGGAGGCGGGGGGTGCGTCTGGCCCCGGCGGCGGGGGCGGCGGTGTCGAAGGCGTTGCCGACGGCGGCCCCGCACGACCCGCCGAAGCAAAAGTGCGGGAATATAATCCGCAGGCGGAGACGCACAGCGCCGAGGTTTTGGGAGCGGGTGAAGCAACTGGGCCGCCAGGGGGGCCCGGAGGACTGGGCAGGTCACCGTCACGAGAAAAAGAGCTGTCGCCATTGCCATCGGGCGAAACGGAAGAGCAACCGCCGTCGGGTGCTTCTACTGGCGGAAAGGCCGCCGAAGGGCAACTTGGGACTTCGCCGGACGGGCCAAGCGACGTTGCGACTCCTCCGGGGCAAATAAATACACAGAAAAACCTGCAGGAGCCAACACCGGCACTGCCTTCGACAGGGCCCGAGGCCCAAAAAAGGGAACACGAGGGAAAAGACGAAACAAACTTGCACACGCCTGAAGGAGGTCCACCAAAGAGAGCCGACGCCTCAGCAAAAGAGGACGTGGACGACACGCACATAACGGAGAACACACCAGGTGGAAATGACCAAGAAGCAAACGAAATCGCTCCGTCTCAATCTCGCGATGGTGGTGCAGTGACATCGCTACAATCATCCGACAGCTCCGCCGGCACTTCGACAGACGGCAGAGAAGAAGCACCGACGGAAAGACAACCAGAGGGATCCTCGACACTAACAAAGCCGCCAACGCCGGCGTCAACTGAAGTGCCAGGGGAAGCAGGGAAGGAGACGACATTGGGGAAGCCTCCTTCGAAAGGGAAGGATGTCGAGGAGAGTCTGGCCAGTGATAATAAAGCTGACGGCGGTGACGAGAAAGCTAAGCCCGAAGAAGCTGTGCCGGCCCCAACTGTCACAAGTAATACACCGGATGGAAGGGCAGTGGATGCAGCCCTACCCACTGCCCATCCGGGCGGCGGTGGCACTTCAGGCGAACAGGCTGGAAATAAGGCTGAGGCGATTGCCGAACTTTCTGCAGGGTCTGTTGCCGCAGCGGCCCCAGGAGCCCAACAGCAAGGTGTAGCTGCCGCTGGCACACCGACGAGCAGCGACAAGGAGCCGCCGCCAAAAGCAGAGGACACCGCCACTGAGGCCAGTCCCGCAGCGATGACGACTGACGGTGGCAGCGGCAGCACCGCGGCGCAGCCGCAGCCGGCGAGTTCCGTGGTGGCAAACGAAGCAGGCCAGCCACAACAAAAGGAGCATCCCGCAGTGCCCACCTCCCAAAGTCAAGCGGAAACGAGTGGCGACGGTGAAGGAGAAGCCACTCAGCCGGCAGCGGGGGCGGCTGCTCAAACGGCGGCGAACACCACCAACTCGACGAATGCAGCGAAGGCGGCGCCCGGCGACAGCGACGGCAGCGGCACCGCGGCCGCGCACTCCGCCTCCCCCCTTGCGCTGCTTCTTCTGCTTGCGTGTGCAGCTGCCGCTGTGATGCGGGTCGCGTGAGAGACTGAGTGAGAGAGGGGGAGAGGGCCGTGCACAGCTTATCCTTCTCTGTTTCTTTCACTCTCTTTGTGTGCGTGCCCCTGCATGGACTCTCTCGCCCTCGCCGCACCCCACGAGGCACACACACATAATTTGCTCATAACTAAACACAACTCCACTCATGCAGGCCCATCGTTTTTCTTTTCTTTTTGCACTCGACGAGCCGCTGCCGCCCTGCTTGGCTGCATGGGTACAGCACCGTGACTGTTTTGTCCTTTTTATTGTTTGTTTGTTTGTTTTCATTGCTTTCAGTGGGCGACCTCTCTTTTTCTCTTCCTGGATTGGGCTGTGCGGGAACAGAGAGGGATGGAGTGTGTGCTGGTCGTCCCACGTGTGGCTGCGCGTCCCCGCTGCTCGGTGGACGCGCCCCCGCGCTTCGGCTTCACTTCACCGGGTTTGTTTTGTGTTTGTTGCTTGACTGCGCCCATTGCGCGGGCTGCTGAAGTGTGATGTGTATGCGTGTGCCACAACCTTCCGGCGCCCCCCTCTCTTTCTCTCTCTCTTGCTGAATGTGGCTGCGTGGGGGTCGTGTGTCTCTGTGCCTAGTTTTTTGTCTTTTTCTCCTCTTCTCATGTTCCTTTTGGCTGGTGGTTGGTGTTCGGCTGCGGCGCAAGTCAACAGTAAGTAGGGAAGTGAGAAAAATATTAAGAAAAGAATGTCTGGAAGAGGCGAGGAAGAAGTTGCCGCTGCTGCGGAGCGCCCCGCGAATGCCGTGCCGCGGAGAGGGCGCCGGTCGAGGCTGGGGCCCGGTGGCGACACGCAGCGGCCAGCAGCGCAGCGCCGAAGGGTCGAGGAAACACCGCAACGGCAACGGTGGCCCCTCACCAGCACGGTAGAAGACGTAATGACGGAGGGACTCTACGACTCTGTGCTAAACGCGCAATGCAGTCACGTCTTGGAGTTTCACGAGGGCGAAGGAAGCAACAGACGGGTGCGAATGGAGGTGAAAGCGGGCCAACCACCAGCACATTTGTCTTTGCGTGTGCCAGTCTCTCTGCTGGGTGGTTCCTTTTGCTCGGTGCACCGTGAAAGGGCGTGGCTTCGGCAGTTGTGCCGGAAGACCGTTCGATGACTCTTTTGGAGATCAGTGTCGCAAACATATTTTTCCTCATCGTCGTCTGTGGTTTCGTCGCTCGGATCGCTGCGGTGCCTTTTGTTCGCGTCACGGTCTGCGGCTGACGCACTTCTTCTCCTGGCGCGTGTGTGTGTGTCGTTGGCCTATTTCAAATTGAACAGTATGCACGATGCATGCTAGGCGACAAGGTGAGGGACATTTACGGTGCCGGTGCAGCGCTGCTTTGGCCGCTCACTCCGCGGCCGATCTTCGCCGTCTGGCAGTGGGCCCTCCCGCTGCCGAACACACTTGCAAGGGGAGGCGGCATGTGCGGCAGTGGCTGGCACCACGCAAGGCGCCACAGTCCTCTGAGCCCCTCTAGCAGCCTTTTTTTTGCTTTTTAATTTCCGTCTTTGTTGTGTATTGTATGCGTTTGTGGCTTTGCTGTGCCTTCTATTTTGATTTTTATCGCTCTTTTTTCTTCGGCTGCTCCTATTAATAGGGAGCGTTGGGGGACGGCTTCAAAAGTAAAAAATAAGTCAGCAATCAGCGAGGTCGTTTCTGTTTTTTTTGCTTTTCCCTTCTTTTTGGCATCGCCCTCATGTAAAGAAGTTGGGACTGTTTTGCGTGAGAAAAAGAGGGAGGGCGGGAGCAAACGTATTTTATCCTCCCTCGGCCTGTTTGCGCAGAGGACGATGTGGGGCGCCTGGCGTCGCGGCGTGGGGG